CGGGAGCCCGCGGCCCCCAGGCGGCTCTCCCGCCGAGCGCCCAGCGGGGCCCGTCTGCGGCCCTCCTTGGGTTCCCAGCCGCGGCAGCGCGGGGGTGATTGCCCCCAGGTTCCCGGACCTGAGGCCCCTCCGGCCGCGCGACTCGGCTTTCCTGCTCCCGCCGCGGACACGCGTGATGGCGGTGAGGCAGGGGGCGGACAGGCACCTCGGCACCACCCACATCCCTCCTGCGGGGCTCGGCCAGCCGCGCCCTCGCCTCATTCCGAATAGAAGGGGCTCTCCTCACCAGAAACGCAAAACCGAGCGGCATCATCCCCAAACACGCGCGCACACCGAGGCCCCACGCGCCCCGCGCCCGCCGGGAAGCCCCGGCCCTCCCCACGGTCAAGGTGTGCCCCCCACCGCCCCGGACTCTCACTCGCGGTCTCCGCGCGCACCGCGTACCCCAGTTCTCAGGACCCCTGCCCACGCCCACGCCCCCGCTGGGAGTGTAAAGGCGACAAGGCTGTTTACCTGCTCCGGGAGGAGAGAAGGAGCTCGCCGCGCCGCGGCTGTCAGTGACTGGCGCCGAGGGCCGGCGACGCGCGGGGCCCAGGAGGCGCTGCGGGGGCGGGAAGGGAGGGACGGGGCCGCGGCGCCGCGGGCGGAAGTCGGCGCGGGGACCAATGACCACGCGGCCACGCGCACGGGCCGGCGCACCTGCGGGCCGGCGGCCGGAGCTGATGTTAAAAGCTGCTGCCAAGCAGGGCCGGGAATCTGAGTCACCGGAAAACACGCGTTGGGATTTGTTTGAACGCTTCATCAGCTGATACTGCCTCCTCCTGTCATCACTCTCTGACGTTGCTCATTGACTATAAAAATCATCTTTAAAGGGAAATTCGGCCCAAAGCTCCAGCTCTCCCGTTATATAATGGAGAAAATGAAAGGTTAGGGAATGAGAAAGCAATTTCTGGAACTTTTCCGGTAGCCAGAAATTTCTAAAGAGGGAAAAATTGTGCTACTCTAGATGGAGCCCAGGATTTATGAATTTTCACATAAATCCTTGAAATTTGAGGCCTAGAAAGGACATTGGCCATCAACTGTTCCTTCATTTACTCAGTTTCTGCTTCTTATGTACAAAAGAGATGATTTAGATTATGATATTCACAAATGAGAAAAATGCTCTCCATTGAGCAAGTCCACTCCGCATATTACATGAGGTATTTTGAGAGGTGTGTTCTTGCTCGTTATTTCTGCTAAGAAATTAGATGGGGGTTTGTCTCATGTAAAGCATGGCCAGAGATGAAGTGACAGAAGGACATGAGCTAGAGTTAGGGGGACTGTATAAATTATTACCCAAATTAGGGGACTTTTGAAAGTGGCACCCGTATTAATTAAGCGGGGCCAATGGGCATAAACCAGGGCTGTCCTGGGAAACATGGGACATCTAGTCCACTTGTTAAGGGCAAGAGGCTCCACCCAGCTTGTAAGAAAAGAAGTTTAAGATTATTGAGATACGCATTGGAAACAGGATTTGGATTAAATAACTGTATCCCAGGACCAATCACCAGGGCACATGGTGAGGAAAGTGAGAAGCCAGGAGAATTGTACAGAGTAATGTGAAACAGCCCCGGGAGAGGTTTATATGAATGTGGGTGGGCGCCTGAAAGGTTGTTTGGGAAGGAGAAATGAGAGGTCTGGAAAACGCCGCCATTGGATGGAGATGATTCAGTAACAGAGAACTGGATTGCGGCCAGTTAGAAATGAGCATTGGGCAGCAATGCTGAGGCCGTGTTCTATCCAGTCAGTTTTAGGTAATGATCACATTGATAGTACTTTTAGAACCTTATCTTCTTTCCTCAGAGATGGCTTGTTTCGAGGTGAACTAGGGGTGTTGAAGCATCTCTTTGAGTCTCGTGCTGGGGTGGGGCTGGGAGTGGGTGACCAGATCAGACTGGACAAGGGGCTGGCTTCCCTCTGGCAGGAAGGGCCCTGTAAAGCATGGTTATATTAAAGAACAAAAATTCAACCGACTGACTTTAAAGATCTAGTTGGCTTTATCCATCTATTCATGAATCAGGCAGCATCCCATCCAGCAAATAAGTAGGAGCTCTGAGGAGTTGTACAAAATGCAAGGTTTCTATACGCAGAAAGAGGGTGGGACAAAGAAGTTTAAAAAATGGAGTATTTCAGGCTAGGTCACCTTCCCCTTGGGGAATGCAGGGGGCCTTAGGCAGATTACCTCACTAGTGTTGATCAGGAAATTCCAGAATGATTGGTTTAAAATTCCACTCCTAGGAGAGGCTGAAACTGCAGTTAGGTTAGGTATTAAGTTTTGGTGGAGCTTAGCATAAGTGACCCCATTTTGGGACTGTTGTTTCTTTTTAACAGTTAGAAGACGCCGAAACTCAGCTTTTTCTCAAAAGAATCCTGTGTCTACTGGCTGAATGCTCTCCCTTCCTGCCCACCAGGAAAAGGCTCTAAAGGCAGAAGATTTCTTGGGGGGATTAGGGAACCAAAAGAAATTGCCTTATGTCCTATTCTGGCTATTATTGCTATGTAGCAACTACTGCAAAACTTAGTGGTTTAAGACAACCACCATTTTGTTATGGCCGTGAATTGTTTAGACCAGGGAGTTGGACAGGCACAGTGGGAACTTGACTCTGCCCCATGATGTCTGGGGCTGCAGTTGGAAAGACCCCAAGTCTGAGGCTGACTTGATAGCTGGGGCTTGGAATCACTTGAAGGCTCTTTCAC